TGGAAATATAGGTCATAATTGTTTTTGAATACTTGAAAAAATAATTAGAAATAATAGGAAATGATATTCCCTATGAGATTAGAATGTAAATTAATAGCGTGAGTGTCATGTTAGGTTTGTACTTATCGAATCAACATCGCGTCGGTCGAAAAAAGAAAATAAGATCAAAGAATAATATTTTTGCAACATATGTTATAATACTACATTAATGTTTAGAAAGATCAGTTAGTTGTCAAAGATTCTGACATGTATTTAGATATAATAGTTCGAAACATTAAGAAACGTCTACGAGATAATTTGAGAAGTTAATACTTCTAAGCTGACCTTTTTTATCTCTATCAATTTTTTATAGAGAAGAAATGATTTATTTAGATCGTATTCTTTTTAATGACGACGTTCCAATGTGTAAAAAAAGATTTTCTATAACATAAATATTCATATTTAAAATAGATATTATAATTTATTGAAATCGGAAAGAACCTTCCAACACTATAGTTTTTAATTAATCATAATTGTTAAAAATATTTTCAATAATAAGATAGTATGTACGTCATTTGGTCGATTGTTAAAATTCTACATACTTGTAAGTGTCAACTCGAGAGACTAGTATGATTGCAATTATAATTGTGATAAGTGCGAAAATTTTTTTCTAATAATAAGAACTTTCTTGGATTTATTCAAGTTCAAACATAAAAATAGATTTAATTAGATTAATCATATGAAAACATAGAATATAAATATTCACAGATATATAAATGGGTATTTATTTTGAATGTATTTGATTCTCAAACGAAATTTGTAATAAGGATATTATCATCCATATGTCGATGTTTGCCAAATCTTCCAATACATTTATCGTTTCTTCTTGTATTTTTTTCTTTTCAATTTTTTTTATTCTCTCTTCTTTTTAAACAACACCACAATCAACAAACTATAGAGGACAAAATGTTTTAGAAACACAACAAATAATGACAAAAGAAAGAAAAAAGAAGCAATGAAGAAGAAGAAGAAGACAGAGATAGTTAATGAATAATCATAAAAACCGTTCGATTAACAGAGACAAAGAACGAGAGAAAGAATGAAAGAAAGAAAAGAAAATGTCTGAATAGAATATTATCGTTTTCTCTGTGTGTTTTTTTTATTCATTATATTTTTCTTTATGATTAAGTAAATATTCAGCAAGAAAACTAATGGGTTTAGCAGGTCGTTCTTTAGCAAGTTGAGACATTGCTTGAAGAAGAATTGGTACAACAGTTTGATCAAGATAAGCCCGTGTTGGTAATGTTGATAAATCAGGTTTGGTTTTTTCACCTGATTGTTGCTGCGAATTAACATTATTTTCCTTGGTTGTATCAGCTTGTTTATCATTAGATTGTTGTTCACCTGCATCGGCAGCTGGTTGAGCTTCCATTTGTTCCGATGGTGTTGTTGTACTGACTATATTTTTCTCAGCTGATTCATTACCAGTATTAGCTGTTGCTGCTTGATTTTCACCTGAAACTTCCGACATAATTATTTAATTAATTAAATGCGCGAAGAAAGTCAATCTAAAAGACACAAAATGGCGCCAAAAAGTTATATTGGTTTTTTACAAAAAAAAAACTTGTCTTCGTTAAACAAAAATGATTTCTTTTCTTAAAAAGTCCAAAAAAATGTATAATACATAAACAGTATGAATAAAAGAAAGATGTGTGTACGTTTCAAAAAAAACTGTGGCTATACCAACAACAATAGCATTGAAAAAGAACAAAAAAAAACAGATGTTTTGTTGCGTTTTTAAAACCTACGTTAGAACGTAAAAGTTGTTGTGTCTTTTTTTTCGTCTATGAACAATTATTCACCATATTTTTCTTTATTTTGTTGTAAATATAAAGCTAATTGTTCAATTGGTTTCGCTGGACGATCACGAGCAATTTGTGACATACCTTGGAGAAGTATAGGAACAACTGTTTGATCAAGATATGCACGTGTTGGAAGTGTTGAAACATCAGTTTTTGGTTTTGTTGATGTTTCAGTAGATGATATGTCATTTGTAACCTTATTTAATGCTGAATCAATATGTTGTTCATCCATTGGTTCATTTGATGAAGTTTTTTCACCATTATTTGATGATATTTGCTCATTTTCATTGGTTTTATCTGGTTGATTTTCAACAGCTGTATCCGACATTTTAATTAATAAACGATTTTAATTTTTATCTGAATAAAAAATGTAGAGATAATTTGTGAATGAAGAAAAACAATATCAAATATATCACGAAACACAAAGAACGCGTGTGCTAGTTAGTTAGTCTTTCTTCTAATCGCCATTGTTATCTGATGATGAAAAAGGTTAAATTAGATAGAGGTTTTATATACCTAGTTTATATCTTTTAATTGATAAAAAGTTAATATCTAAGATTTATTATGTTAGGTTATATAATATACATATTTGCTTGTTTGATTGACCACCAGAAAATGGATTGATTATGAAAGATGTCACTAGATATGAATACAATGAATGGCATCTATTATATATAGATATGAATCCTACGAATAAAAGAGAACTTTTTATTTGAAGAATTATGTAAAATATGGAAATTTTTTTTTCAATTTATGATATAGTTATCTTTGTTTTAAATATATAATTTTTTGTAACCCCGAGAATTTATTACTATCTGACAAACTAAAAACTACATAATAATAATAAAAAATATTTATATCAGACTAAAATAAGAAGCACTAATTTTTGCATAATTTTCATAAACGGATTATTCGGAAATTGTTTGCATTGATGGAAGATCTTCATATTTCGGTGGTGGATCATCAGCATTGAATATTGTTTGATCTAAACAAAAAAAAGAATTAAAAAAAGAATTTTGAGAATCATTCTTACTTCTATCAATTGTAGACGGTTGAGTATAGATAATAATTTTTTTATCAATTTCATTCTCATTTATTTTCATTTGTTTAATTAATTTTCTTTGAGCAGATAAAAGAAACATATGTATAAAAAAACATAATATACCAATAATTAATAGAATTGTATTAAGTATTTGTGTTAATTTGAATAGATTTGTTATTTTTATACATGGAATATTTGAGGGATAAATTTCTAAAACATTTCCAGACAACATAATTCGTGATGTTGACACAGTTGGTTGACATATTGGATATATATCTTGATTATCAATAATCAATGCAGTAATAGAAACTGCAATAAGACCTGGTGCTAAGATAATATTAACAATAAATGACCAAATTTGAGCATGTAGAAGATATCGATATGATATTTGTTTGTATCCAGCAACAACAGATGATAAACCAGCAATTATAAGAAAAAACCCTGAGATAATTCCAGCATTAATTGGTGAGAAATTAGATAGATATTCTAATGATATATAATGTATAAGAAAAGCACAAATACCAAGTATAAATGATATCCAACCTAGACGAAAAATACGTTTAATTAATTTGGAATCATTTTCTAATGATTGTGGTTGAATAATAATCGTTGTTGTTGTCGAAGAATCACTTATATTCTTCATCTAAAAGTTGGAATAAAATTTTTATATAAACTCTATTATAAAGTATATATTCGATAGTTTCTCTTCGGTGATTTAACGAGAAAGAAAAATAATAATGACACTATATATATATATATGCATGTAACAAAAAACAAGGCACAAAACATTTACAGACAAAATAAAATAGAAATAACATCTCATATTTTTTTACAGTAAAATCTTTTTAGTTTTTAACATCATTCGAAAATATTCACTTTGAAAAATAATATTAATGCACAGATGGTTATGAAATGAAGAAAGAAAAAATCTATTCCTTATACTCATTTGTCTTCATTGAATTTTATCTTCTAAATTCGTTCTCAGATTTTACTCGATAATAAACAGATGATGATTTTTTTGATTCTTTAATGAGATGTAACACAAATATGAGCATGAAAAAAACAAACAAACAAATAATTGGAAAAAAAGAACTGCATTGTATGGAAAAAAATATAATTTTATAAACACCGATAAAAATTTTATAGTTTTATTTTGATACCGCTGGATTACGTAAAGAAAGCCTAGGCAAAACAAAAAATACAAATTAATATAGAAGTTTCCAAGAGAAAAAAATAATATATTTACCTTTTACCCTCAGTAGTAAATGCATGAATTGATGCAGATGTTGCTGCAACTACGGCAGTTGCAACAGCTGCTGAACTTACTAATGTTCCAATAAGTGGTTGAGATTTATTTTGAGCATGTATCGATAGATGATCACCTTTTCTAGGTGATTCATCTGAATCATATTCATCATCACTACTACTTTCCGATGTTCGAAAATAATTATCTTTAACAAAATGAAATATTCCTCTACAAAACAAAATTTTAAGATAACAAATAATTCAATTCGATTCTCCTACGCTTTCTTTGGTAATGGATTCGATGCATTTTGTAAAAGATTACGATAATATTCCGATTGTATAAAACGTGGATAGCTATTTTTTTTCATTAATTCAACAATATGTTTTTCTGCTTCTAAGAAAATTTCACTAGAAGAACAAAAAAGATTTCAGATAAAGAAATAATTTTAGTTTTTTATTTTACCGATTTGGATTATCAAGTTTTTTAATAATTTTTGTTCTTATTGTATCATTAATATTAACTTCTTGTGGTGCATTTGGTGCTAAATGTTCTCTAAAACAAAAAAACAATCAAAAATATATTGTTTAGTTTTTTTGTAGAATACAAACCGATAAACAACTTCAGCTTTTTCTTTTATTTTTGATAATGGACAATTACGTATTTCTTGTACATTTAAATAAAAATTAAGACTTTCAGTTGAAAAATCAGCTTGACAAAATTTCATAAATTCTCGAACACCTGTTGGATCTGATAAAAGTTCTTTACAATTAAATGACCAACGACGTACACGAAGTTGTGTTGGATTATCAACTCTATATTTACACATATAAGTATATTCATTTAGTAATAGAAAAGATATATGCATACAAAGGTTGCGTGAGATCCCATCGATCTGTATCTGATGTTAGCCATGGATTTGATGGTAAACAATGTCCCAAGAATGGATCATAATCACTGAATACTTCAAAAAATGCACATAAACTAAATAAAAAGAAGATCAGTATAAGAAATAAATAGGAATAATTTTATAAAAACATTAAGCAACAGGGTTTAAAACATTGGATAAAAAAATATATAGACAACATCAACTGATGGGCAAGGGTATATATGAATAGGTAAAAGGGAGGAGAAAAAAAGAACCTTTGATGTGTTTGTGATGATTTTGTGCGTACTCGATTGGTTAATGCCTGTTGAAGGTATTCAAGCTGAAAAAATGGCATTGTCAATCATATATTATTGTTTCACTAATTTGATTTATAAAAATGAAAAATATGGTTTATGAAACTTACACGACGTTTTAATGCTTCTTCACGTCTCATTGATCGATGTGTATATAAATCATTTCGAATATCCATCTCAAGAACAGATGCTTCATCCGGCTATGAATATCAAAAAGAAAATTTATTTGAAATATAAAAATCTTTTTTGAAATTTACTGAAGGACGCATAACACGCCAAAATGCTCGTTCTTGACTATCGATTATTGTTTTATCGGTTTTTTTACGATCTTTAAGTACGCTAGAAAAAATTAAAAAAATTAGAAAAAGAATTTTTTATATTTAAATTTTCTTACCGAAATTGAGCTTCGGCTTGCATTGTAACAAAATCCCATTGATGAAGTAATCTCTTTTTAAGATCCTCTAATGCATACTAGAAAATATTGAAATAGTAAAATGATGTAATCATAAATAATAATTAACAAACTATTTCATGTTCTTCAAGACCATGTCGTTGTCGATTTCTTAATGTTCGTTTTAATAAATAAATAGCTAAAGAATATAATTATAAAATAGAAAAAAAAGTAAGAACGAAAATGTTGTTCTTTAACAAACCATATTCAATATTGCCTGTTGTCCAATTAGTTGAAACCCAGTAATAGGGTGCTTGAAAACGAAATAATTCATTATCTTCTTTGATTTGTACAGCTCCATTTGTTGTTATATGAAAAAAATAACCATAATAACATAATAATGAAGCAAGATGAAGAGCTTCAGCTATAAATTAAAAAGAAATGAAAAAAAATGATAATAAAAAAATTTATTTACCAGCATCTTTGACATTTAATTTTTCCATAATCCATTCTGTTACATCACCACCGGTAAATGCATTTGGTACTGTTGTAAGAAATAATTTTTGACTACGAACAGGTACACCTGCTGTTGGATGTTGCATGGCTTTGACAATACGTTCCATACGTTGGAATTGAAGAGAACGAGGTAATCCTTTTCGTTGAATATTACTCATTATTTCCATTTACATTTATCGTATTCTAAAAAGAGAATTAATGATAAAAGAAAAACAAAATCATAATATGAATGTATTAATATATGCGGTTTTTTTGTTTTCACAATAAATAAAAGCATGATACACAAGAGAAGTGTCATAGAAAAAAAACACAAAAAATGTCTTAGCATACACAATAGAAAATTCTGTATTAAATACCAGAAAGAAAAAAAGAAAGAACAAAGCTAATATAATTATTGAGATACTAGCAAAGAATAAGAACGATTTGTTTTCTTTAGAATAGCAATAAATATAGAAAACAGAAAAAAAACAAGCTAGCCAGATAAACACATAGAGAGGAGTAGTATGATATAAAATATCTGACAGGAAAAAAAGCAAGATTTCTTTTCAAGTCATAGTATATCCTTTATTCCTCGATGTATTCTTCTTTTATAAAACAAAAAAAAACAGCACGTCTGTAAAAGCAAATAAAAAGCACGAGTAGAAAAAAAAATATTTTGTTCACCACTTTAAAAATTATATTGTCAAATTGTACATTTTTTAAAATTCGATTGGTAATTTTTCCAAATGCTCAAATGAAGAAAAAAAACGAATAGAAATAACTAATAAAAGAAAGAAGAAAAAAAAAAGACAGGCATACACATTGATAAACAACAGTAAATAATATAATAGAAAAATAGCAATATAAGATAAAGAAAAGATTTGTATTCTGAATATGATTTATTTTCTAATAGGTTTTTGACGGTCAAGGATAGCAGTAATTATTTCTTGTTTAGCTTTTTCAATATCCTTTCGTATTTCAGTAAGTATTTCAGTTTTTAATTTATCCAGATCATTAGCTGTATAATTGGGTGTAGAATGAGATTCACTTGCTTTACGAGTAACACGTGGTGATGTTGGAACAGTTGCAGGTGTTGTTGGTGGTAACGTTGTCGAAGGTAGCACTTTTGATGATGTTTTACCTGTATTAGCTGTATTGGATGAATCAGTTTTGTCACCTTCATCAACTTGTTTACGACGCTGTGCAAATTTAGCAGCCATTTCAGACATTAAATCCATTGGTGGAGCAGTTGTACTTGATTTCCGAGGTGTACTACCACCACTTCCATTACTAGTAGGAAGAACTAGTGCAGGCGCTGGTGGTGGTCCATTTCCGAAACTACTAGGCATTGGAGGAGGAGGTGGTGGTGGTGGAGGAGCGGCTGGTGGAGCGCTGCCTGTGGACATGGGTGGATTTAATGGTGGAGGTTGTGGAATATTATTGTTTTTATTTGTTAAATTATCACCGTAGGATGAATATGAGTCGGAAATAAGTGCGTAATTTGCTTCTTCTTCTTCAGAGTGTTGTTGATGTTGACTATAATAATTGTTACTGTTATTAGTTGATGTGGAGTTTATTGAGCTCAAGCTCGGACGAAACTGATTATTGTAAGACGACGACGAATGTAATAGTAGCTGTTGTTGTTGTTGTTGTTGTGGTTCTGATATAGCAGAAGAAGTTGTGGAATTGATGGATACTGTCGCTCCTGTTGGAGGAAAAGAAGATGGTTGGCTCGTTTGTCGTTTATATGACGATGTGCTGTTATTATTATTATTATTATTATTATTCATCTGCGTTGACGATGGAAGAGTTCCTCCACCATTAGCATTCGTTTGAGACGATAGATTAGTAGAACCATTGACGTTTTCCAGAATTTTCATCATCGTACTACCAAATTCTTGTGCATCAAGTTTCGATGAAAAATTTAGACCATATACAGATTGTTGATCACGCCATTGATGAAATGTAGGTGTTGCTTGATTATATTTGATACCTTTATTTATTGTATGATTTAGTACAACTTCATGATCTTGAATTTGTCTACCAACAATACGATATATTTGTGTATCTGGAGAAAATAATAACTGAATTTTAGCTGAACCATTTGGTGCACAATGTATCCATTTCTTTTGTGAATCATTATAGACCATTGCTGTTGCTTTACAACTTGTTAAAATATCTTCTCTAGGATTAGTACCTACCATTGTTGTTATTGTTGTTGTTGTTAGCGGTGGCGGTGGTGGTGATGGTGGTCGTGTTGACTCAGTTTTTATTGATGAATATGATTGATTACTTAATATTGATAAAGATGAAACAGGCTATAAGAAATACAAATATAGAAATGTATAGTTCATCTATGTCATTTTTAATACATAATTATTTAGTGTTGACAAGTATCTTATCTCTCTTATACCTTAGCAATACTTCTCAAATTTGATGATATAGCTGCAGGCACTTTCTTTCCTGTCGACATCTTGATGCCAAAATAAGCTCGTCTTACTTATTCTCTCTCACTTGACGCAATAGGGAATAATATGTAAGTGTGCATGTACGTGTGAATGCTAAGAATAATATCAGATAGAACGAACAACATAGGCATGGATGGTATCATCGTCTAGAAAATATTTCTTCTTATTTCTTTCTCCTTTTTTTTCCTCATTCATTCTATTTGTCGTTATACTCATCTTTTCCTATTTATAAAGTACTATATACTTGTACATGTTCATGATTATTCACATGTGCTTCGTTCATTCATATGCACACGTAGAAAAAAAACGAACTGTTATTGTGTATGTATATATATATATGTATATGCACATCTATATATATATATATATTCATACATATATATATTATTAGTAATAGTTTTAACCTGAAGGATACATCTTGTGCAATCTAATCGATCGATGTATATGAGACATGAAGAAGGTCATATTGAATAAAGACAAGATGATATATAACGAATATTAATTTGCTCATTTTTCATGTTTTTTTTCTTCTTGTTCTGTATGTTAATATTTCGTAAAGTTTATAGAGAAAGAAAAGAAATTAACAATTAAAAGGAAATAATGACATAAATTACAAATAGAATCATTTTTCAGTTGTCATCTGAAAAATACTTTTTGATAGAACAACAACAACAGCATAATAACAGATGGTTTAAACGATTATCCAAAACGTACGTGTATCATGCAATTTCTTTCTTTCTTTCTTTTTTTCCTTCCCTCGGCCGGCAGGATGCAAGGCAAATAACGCGATTAAAAAGCCAATCAATTATCGAAGTGTGCATATGTGTGTCTGCCAATGGCGGTATATTCGCACCATTTCATCTCTATAATATTAGGGAACAAAATCCTAGAAGTAATATTAAGTGATGACCTCAATTTATACGGAGTGAAGTGTTTAACATTTTCCTCTTCTACCTTTCCTAAAGAATATTTATATATATATATATATGGGAATATTATCCTTGAGTTCAATGAATATCCGATGTAAATGCCAAAGGGCATTGATCAAGGATAAATTGAAGAGAAGAACAAAATTTTTGGTCCTGGTATTTCCGTTAATTAACAAGGCGAAATAACTTCTAATATGTCCTTCATTTTTTTTTCGTAATCTACCTGATCATCTATATGGTTGTTATATTCACCAGACATTTTTTCTGCTTCTTCTGATAAAGATATTTGTTCTTCGATGTTGTCGTTTTCTATGCTTGGTATCTGTTCTTCATTAGAATACTCATCCGATTGATCTTTGTCGTTAATTGCAACCTTGTCACTACGATTAATAATAGGTGCTGAAATAGTAATAGGCTGAGTAGGTGTCGTTTTATTAGTGTTGATACTTGTATAATATTCGGAATCTGGTCTCAATGATTTGGTTCGACGAGAAGATTCATGATGTAATTTCGATCGAAAAAGATTCAACTTATGCATTATTACGATTATTTATAAATGAATGTATATGTACTCGTATTTTATTCGTTCGTACTAATAGATGTATCTTTTGCTATTTGTATCATACTGTCCGGACTTAATCATAAAAAAAAAATAAAAATCGATCTGTTCTATTCAATCATTTGTTTTTTTCTCCTGTTGTTTTTGTTTAACAGGTAGAAGACTAGTACACATGTTAATGATTTACAAAATGCTTGTGATTCATATATGACGTTCTTCTATTTTATATTAGTAACATAAAATTTGAAATAGAAAAAAGGAAAAAAGGGAAGATTCTATTTTTATCCATTGACAAACTGTCAGAAAAATAATAATTGATCGTGTTACTGCTATTGTCTATCAAGTAGCTATAAACTAGCTCAAGTATACTGTAAAATACTCCAAAAAAAAGAAGATAAATCATTTTTTATTTGATGAACATACCTGATAAATATTGATTGATAAATATCACAAGTAAATTTCACTTGAATTCTATTAACAAAAAAACAGGAAATTCGATAAAATTCTATTATCTAATCTTCTTCTTCTTCTTCTATTACCATAATTAATAATTCATAATAACAGATTTTTTTTTGACTTGCAAGTACGACTTTTACAATCATCTAGAATATAACAAAACAAAATGCGGAAATTTGTAAAGTAATCATATTAAATGAACATCTATATCATTATGTTCAATAAACTAACTATATTGACATAACCCATTTATTTATTTTATTTAGATTAAATTAATTTTTTGTTTATATAGAAAAATCTATTGTTCAATAGAAAAATGTTCAATAAAAAAATATATTATGAAATAAAATTTGTCAAGTTGTATATCATTGAACAATAAATATGCATTAATATGTTAGAATAAAATAAATTATAGAGGTCAGGAATATTATTTTCATTGGTTAATATAATAACAAATTAGACGTTAAATTGGAAGAATGACGAAAAAATTGTCTAACTGACGTCATGTCTTATGATATGCCAGCATTCTCCTACTATTTCCAACAGATTATATTTGTTAATAATATCTAAATAATTGAAATCTTTCATTTTAACAGATAAATTTAAGATTATTTCATTGCGTAAGATAAAGTTGAATTATGTCAACATTAGTCACTGTTCGTCAGACGACAACAACGACAACTTCTACTACAACAGCAATAAATACAAATAATAATATGACTACTACTAATGGTCAAATATCTATGCATTCATATGGAATAACACCACCAATAACAATGAAAGGTCCCGATCCATCAGATATAATAGCAACAGATGATCTTGAAGAATCATTACGTTCATATGATTATTTTGAATCAGATGCTGAATTAGCACTTCGTGTTGATGTTATGTCGAAATTAGATGGTCTTGTACAAAAATGGATACGTGATGTATCAATAGCAAAAAATATACCAATAGAAACTGCTGATACTGTTACTGGACGTGTACATACATTTGGATCCTATCGACTTGGTGTTCATTCAAAAGGTAAGAGAATTTTTCCCAAATATTTATATTAATTTGAAAAGAATCGATTATGAAAATTAAATTTTTATTCGATAATAATCAATGTTACACATTTCAAAACGAAAAATTAATTTATTTTTAGGTGGTGATATTGATACACTTCTTATAGCACCACGTCATATTGATCGTACAGATTTTTTTACAACATTTATAGAAGTTCTTCGTCGTCAATCTGAAGTATGTGATTTACGTGCAATTGAAGATGCATTTGTACCAGTTATCAAATTAACATTTGATGGTATTGAACTTGATATATTATTTGCTCGTTTAGCATTATCAACTATTCCAAGTACATTTGATTTAAAAGATGATAAAATTTTACTTAATCTTGATCAACGTTGTGTACGTAGTTTAAATGGTTCTCGTGTTGCAGATGAAATTCTTAATTTAGTACCTAATCGTGAAACATTTAAATCAACATTACGTGCAATTAAATTATGGGCAAAAAAGAATGG